CTCCGCGCTACGGCATGTGGGAGCTCCATCTGGAGAGCACCTCCAACTACAGCTTGTCCGTGACTGCCAACTCGACCCTGGCGTGGTTGGGAGAGTTCTGCATCCTGGACCCGTCGCCGCCGCACCCACACTACCGCCCCGCCGAAGGACGTCCGCTTACCAGTGGGTAGCTGGGGCGCCTCCTCGATTTTTAGTATTGCATCCCCTCCGCCTTACTTACTCTCTTTACAAGGAATAAGCTCGGTTCAAATTACTCTTTGTTAGTAAGAATATCGACTGATTTTCCACTTTCTGTGTTTAAATTCGCTCTAAATTATATGGTTAGTCCAGTTTCATTAAAGTTGATGATACTTTTTATCGTAAATCAAAGTGTCATAAAAATAAAGATAAATCGTCATAGTAGAAGACATGGTGAGAAAAATCGTTATTGTTTTCCCATTGATTCTCACACCTGCAGCTTTTATAAGGACAATTAACACCTATTCTCTCTGTTCTCAGACACTGTGTATTACCTTGAGGTTATGTTAGTGGGATACCTGGAGAGCGAAGTCATAGACGTGCACCTCGTCGAGTTCGTTGATGTGGTGAGTAGCGAAGAGTTAAAATAAGGATGAGAATATTTTGTAATGCTTTTCGTCTTTTTTTTTTTTTTTTTTTTTTTTTTTTAAGTTCATTTGATATTTTTGAGTTAAAAAAAGGTCAGGGAAAGGAGAGTTGGGTTAAACGATTTTTCTATAAATGTATATGATGAATTAAGGAAAATATGAGATAATTAAAAGAAAATATGTAATACAGAGATGAAAATACATGATTTAGAAATGAAAATGTAAGATAAATAGATTAAAATATGTGATAGACAAAGGAAAACATATGAAAATATATTATAAATAAGAAATAGATAAAACAAATAGAGAAAGGCATACCAATTAAAGAAAAACATACTTGATGAATAAAGGCATAAACAAAGAAGGGAAAATACATAACGCATAAAAGTCTATCCTCTCCTTGCTTCTCCCAAACAGTCCGGCTCGCTCCTCCGCACGATCCCTTATGACGAGGGAATCGACGACGTCTTCTACATCCGGTCTGAACCTCTTCCCGAGCAGCATTTCTACATGAAACTCTATGGCAAAGTCCACTCCGGTAAGTCACGGTGATGCTGCTTTGTTTTGTTTAAGTTTGGGGTTTTTGATCTGATTTGTTGAATTGAAGGGGGTTGTTTTAGCATTGTTTAACGTCTTTTGTGATAATATTATAGTTATATAACGATTAATTTGACGTAGAGCACGAGCCGATAGAAGGGGATAATGGGAGAAAATATTAAGAGTTGATATAGAGAGAAAATATTTACAAAGGTGGATAATGGCAGACAGTATTAGCAGGGCTGGATAACAGGGCAAAATATTAACAAAGGTGAATAACAGGAAAATATATTAATAAAGGTGATAATTAGAGGATAATTAGAGAATACACAAAGAGGTAAATAATAAGAACATACCTGGAGGAAGATATTAACGGAAGTCGTCAATGCAGGGAACACGTTCAGCCGACTTCAACCTGTACTGATTACGCCCGTGAAGGCAAGTGTGGAAGTACTCGCGACTTCGGATGACCTGTCCGCCAAACCCGGTCACGTCGCACAGGGAGACTTCCTTGTGACAAACTTCGGCCTCGAGTCTGACTTCAACATCACCGGCACAGACAGCGGAAAGTTCTTGCAGTATATGGAGCCCACTGTGTATGTTTTTAATCTTGATTTATACGAGATATGATTTCTTGTTTTCTTTAGGAAGGTAGACTTTAAAGGAAGTTAGAGGAGGTTGGTGTTGTGCTGTGTTCCTCGCCTGATATAACTGCAGGATGATACGGTATTTGTTGCATATTATATACTTAAATGAGAGATGATAGTGTTACTGGAGAGATGTTACAAACGTGTTAAATTACTTTATTAACAAGAAAGGCTCCCTTCCTCTTAACACGAGCCCCAATGACCTAAAGCCTCCCTTTCATCATGACACCACTTCCCAATTGATCCACGTCAACACCAACCACCTAATGCTCCCTCCACCTTCACCTGATTCACCCAAGGCTCCCTCCGCCTGAACCTACCAAAATAAACCTCCACCTGATTATCACAGACCCCCCTACATTTCAACCTAATTCACCTCAAAAATAATCTCCCTCCACCCAGCTGATTCCAAAGCTCCCTCCCCCTCCACCTGATTCACTCAAATTCCCCAGCACCTCAACCTAATTCAGCCACGAACTCCCTCCACCCCAACGCCAGGATCCACCTGACGGAGGGCGGCAGCGGGACGGTGACGGCGCACTTCAAGGTGAAGACTGGCACCGCCCCTGGCACTGTCAGCACGGTCATGGTCACGGCACAGAGCCTCAAGCAGACGTATTCTGTCAACACCGCTATCACCCACTTCCACGTCGTGCCGAAGGTCAGTTTCTGCTGTTGGGTTGTCTTTGAGGTATAAGGACGTATTTGATTTTTTTTTAAATTCCTTTTCTTATGTGAGGACTTCTTTTTTTTTTTTTTTTTTTTGGGGGGGGAGGGGGGTGAGGACGAATTAGCGTTTGTTTTTATTCTGTTTATTTTTCTTTGGGAATGTGAGGACGTATTAGCCTTTGTTTTGTTAATTTTCTTGGGGCCGTGAGGGTTAGTTTTCTGTTTATTTTCTTTGAGGGATGTTGAGTGCGTTTTTGCACTTCTTTCGTTTATTTTCTTTGGGGATGTTGAAATCGTATTTGCATTTGTTTTCAGTCTATTTCCTTTGAGGGACATGATGACGTTTTTAAGTTTCTTTTGTTTTGTTTATTTTCTTTGGGGGTTTCATTTATTAATTCTCTCCTAGAGATGGAAGTGTTTTTGTGCATTTATATTCTGTTTATTTTCCTTGGGGATTTTTTTCTTTCTTTTTTTAGGGGTAAGGATATTTTTGCATCTGTTCTCTGTTCATTTAGGACGTTTTTTGCATTTTTTTTACTTACTCTCTTGGGGATAAAGGAAGGCTGGAGAAAGGCGGGGTTTGATTACAATTTTGGTTGCAAATTCTATATTCACAAGATATAAAGTTTTAGCAAGGAAAGTATTTATTGCAGTGTAAATCGAATTTGGTGATTTTAAGTATAAGATTGTGAAGGTATAGTACCTTTTGTTCACGCCAGTGTGAAGAGATTTTAGATAACGGGGTGTGATGAATGATGGATGTATGAAGGAAAATATGAAATTCGGGAAAGGGAAAACGAAATATTTAGGGAAGGAAGAACAATAATGTGGTAATTGATCGTAGAAATTAGGAATGAAAATGGGTATTTCCAATGTGAATTATATGTCTTATACGGTTTGATATTCATTCATCAGCATCGTATGGGGGCGAACTCTAACCTTTTTTTGACTGTGTATTAAGATTTCTTTTTTAAATCAGTTAGATTCATTTTCTAATAAAGCAAATCGTTGAAATTATTTCAAAGAAGGTTTCTTGTCTGTTGCAAATCTCGAATCCAGACGGAGGACGACGTTCCCCCGACCTGCACTCTCGCAAACGAACCAGACTGCACCGGATTCACCTACAACGGCATCTGCAGCCAAAAGAACTGGACGGTCGAAGCAACAATCCAGGATCTTGGCTCTGGTAGGTGATTAGAACATTACCCACGTATGCAAAAGGAAAGCATCTAAGCCTAGAGGTCAGAATCATCAACGTTTACATCCTCTTGGCAGGTTTGAGCAACGTTTATGCTCGTCCTGATGGCATCGCGTCTGTGGTGGCTGGGCTGGCGCCTGGCACCAAAGATCTCGTGAATGTGACGTACTCTGCCGACTGTTGCTCCTCTCAAGTGGACATCATCGGTGTGGATACGCAGGGGAACGTTGGGAAATGCGTTATCGACATGGGGGCTCTGGGAGGTAATGTGTTTTAAAACGGATATCTTGCGTGTCTGTGATGGCATTTTTTTTTTACATTTTATGTTCACCATAAACTCTTCATTTATATTATTGCTCTTATCACTACTATTTGTATTAATATCATTATAATCAATCATCGGAGATATCAATATAAACATTATTACTGCCATATCGTTAATACCAGCCTCTCATTATCATACATAACATGATCGTACTTGTCTAAACGTCTCTCTCTCTCTCTCTCTCTCTCTCTCTCTCTCTTTCTTTCTCTCTCTCTCTCTCTCTCTCTCTCTCTCTCTCTCTCTCTCCCTCTCGCTCGCTCGCTCTCTCTCTCTCTCTCTCTCTCTCTCTCTTTCCCTCTCTATCTATCTATCTATCTATCCTTCTCACGCAGGTTACATCCTGGACTTGGAGGCGGAGGACGTGGGCGAGACGTGGGTGCTCCTGCGCTGGGAAATCACCTCCTCTGACCTCGATCTCCACAAGTACCGCCTCCTCATCAACAACGACTTCACGCAGGAATTCTTGTGTAGGGAGGTGAGCGCCGTAGGAAGAGCAGTGTGCAGATAATTTAGTTTTATTGATCTTCTATTAATTTATTCATATATTCATTTGTTTATTTATTGATACGTCTAGGGAAGAGAGTTTAATGAACTGGTTCTGGGTATGGATAGGTAGTTTTTTTCTGGTAGTACAAGGTTTAAGGTTAAGTTTTCAGAATATACTGTATTTGCAATCTCTGACGGTTTGTGAAGTAGTCAATAACCGATTAATGAAAAAAAAAATCCTCCTCATCTTAACATCACGGCTACAAGTCTCCATTCTCATCTAATCTCATTTCGTAAAAAAACAATATCCATACACAATGTAAACAAAACCCATAAGAGTTAAATCACCGCCTCTAGGACTAAAATCCAGCCATTCATTCCACCCACGTAGCCCATATGCCACCACAACGTGACGTACCTGGACCCATGCAGCCTCCAGTCTTTCGAGCTCACGCCTCACTTCTACGTCGGGGGGGCAGACCGTGCAGGGCAGCCGGCATATACAAAGGCTACTACACTCGACACCGGTAAGTGTTGTAGGATGAAAATAACTTGTAATGAAAGGTGCTTTGTCACAGGGCGATCGGTATATATTAAAGCCACTACACTCGATACCGGTAAATGTTGCCGAAATAAAAGTAACTTATAATGAAAAAGTTTTATCACCGCCTTCTTCGTTAGCTTATTGTAGATTATTATTACATGATTCTTCGATGGTCTTACTATACTAAGACCATCGAAGAATCATGACTGTGACGTACTCTGCTGTACATATATACATATAAGTGTCGGTTTTATAAAGAGTGATTTCGCTCTATTAACTACATGACCAATTTCTCCGACAGATCCTGAAATGCCTTCCAACGGCGTGCAGGTCAACGCCACTTTAGGCACGATCACGGTATCTTGGGACGCCGTCAGCTCCAAGTGTGTCAGTCAGTTCGAGGTAAGTGGACCGGATGAGGCTTATGAGGTGGAGGTCGATTTCTAAATTTACTGACTGGGAAAATATATTCATGCATACTATACATATATGCTTTTGATCAATAAGTGTAAATGCATATGTACATATATACATACACACATATATACACAAATATATATAAACATATATACACAAATATATACAAATATATATACACAAATATATACAAATATATATACATATATACATACAAACATACATACATATGTGCATAAATACATGCATACATACAGACATACATACATGTTTGCACACACATTACATAAAAAAACATGTATCTCATCAATAAGCACATAAACTTACATACACAAATACATTCATACAAAATTACAGACATGCATAGATACATACATACATATATACATACACACATACATAATACAAACGTACATACATAATACATACAGGCAACCATACATACATAAGTAAATCAGTCCATCCATCCATTCATCCATCCATACACCGAACCAATAGACATATAAAAACAATGAAATCAATCGGCCTTCTTCAACGAAACAAATCAATCCTATTCCATCCAATTTGCAACCGTTCGACAGGTGTGTTACCGGCCCTTCGGATTCGACGCCACTGAAATCTGCGAACGGACGGCGCTCCCGAACTACACGCTGCAGGGGGTCGAGGCCTGTGCCGTCTACGAGGTGTCGGTGCGCGCGGTCTCTCCCTCGGGGCGTCGCAGCCAGGCGCTCGAGTTCTTTGTCAATAGCGAGGATGCAGGTGATTAAAAAAAGAGGGGGGGGGGGAGAAATGGGGGAAAGAAAGGGGGAGGATAGGGGAAAAGAAAGAAGATAGAAAGGAGGGAAAGAATGGGGGAATAAAAGGGAGGGGGAGAAAGGGGGAAAGAGACGGAGATAGAAAGGGGGAAAGAATGGGAATAAAGGGGGAAAGAAAGGTTGAAAGTAAGGAGGAAAGAAAGAGAGAGGGAGAAACGAAATGTATATGTTTATAGAAAGGAGGGAAAGATGTTTGGGGTGTTTGTTTATGTGTTTGTTTATGTATATATATATATATATATATATATATATATATATATATATATATATATATATGTATATATATATATAAATATATATATATATATATATGTGTGTGTGTGTGTGTGTGTGTGTGTGTGTGTGCGTGTGTGTGTGTGTGTGTGTGTGTGTGTGTGTGTGTGTGTGTGTGTGTATGTATATATATATATATAAATATATATATATATATATACATATATATATGTATGTATATATATATAACGCAATAATTAATTTGGTACATAAAAAAGGGATAGAAAGGATCTAAAAAAATACCGACCCGTAAGCCCCTTTCAGTTACTTACAAACTGTCCACAAAAGTCATCACAACTCGCATCTCTGACAGTCTGGATTCTGACCAGCCTAGAGAACAAGCAGGATTCCGCAGTTGATTCTCAACAGACCACATCCACACGCTCACCTAAATAAGAGAAAAATAAACGAATATAGGAAACCCTTATGTATGTCACAACAAGGAGTAGAGGAGGTATATTGTAAAAAAAATAGAAGATACTTACGAAGATGGGACAGCAACCATGAAGCACTACACGAAAACCGATAAAAGCCAATCAAAAAAGTTGTTAGACAGGGCGATACCATCTCACTGAAACTGTTTACAGCTTGCCTTGAGGAAATATTCAAGGAGCTAGAATGAAACGGAAAGGGTATCAAAGTAGGAGACGAACACCTAAGCAATCTAAGATTTGCAGACGTTATTGTTCTCTTCGGTGAATCTGCAAATTAAATGCAGCAATCAATAAATGATCTGAATAGAGAAAGTCTGAAAGTCTTAGGACTTACGATGAACAAGAAAAAGACTAGGATCGTGTGCAACAGTAGAGTTCAATTGGAACAGATACATGTACAAGGCGAATCGCTAGAGGTAGTGGACAAGTATGTATATCTAGGCAACTCGTACAGACAAACACAGCTAGCGAAGAGGAAATAAAGCGACGCATCAAACTAGGCTGGAGAGCCTTTGGCAGACCCAGTAGCATACTAAGAGGCTCCTTGCCACTATGTTTAAAAAGAAAAGTCTTTAACCAATGCGTCATCCCAGTTATGACTTGTGGATCAGAAACATGAACTACAACCAAATTACGGGAGAGGAAACTAATAAGTGCCCAGAAAGGGATTTAAAGGTTAGAGTTGGGAATTAGCCTAAGAGATCGGATGAGGGCGCTGTGGATCAGGAACAGACAAAAGTGGAAGATATACTTGAGAGCATCAAAAAGAAGAAATGGCAATGAGCAGGTCATATATGCCGGAGACAGAACAACAGATGGACAAATAAAGTAACAGACTGGGTTATAGATAACATAAAGAGGCCAAGGGCCAGACCTATGACAGGATGGCGCGACAAAAGAACGAAATTTGGGGGCCAAGACTGGAAAAAAACGCGACAAAGTTGGAAAAGATTGGGGTAGGCCTACGTCCTGCGCTGGATTGATTCAGGCTGCTGCCTGCTGTTGATGCTATATTATTTTTCTTTCCTTCTCTCTCTCTTTTTTTTTTTTTTTTTTTTTTGTCTACTGTGTGTATCTGCCAGTATCTGTGTGTGTGTGTGTGTGTGTGTGTGTGTGCGTGCGTGCGTGCGTGCGTGCGTGTGTGCGTGTGTGTGTGTGTGTTCGTGTGCGTGCGCATGTGTGTGTGTCTGTCTGTCAGTCTACTTGCGTGTGATTGTCTACATAAAAATTTCATAAATCCCCTTCGACAAACACCCAAACATAAGACAACTAAAAAAACTACTCTAACAACCATGTCATCTAAGACCTACATCCACCTCTATTAAACCCCGCTCCCCCCTTCAGAACCCGAAGCGCCCCGCAACGTACTGGTGGACCTCGTGAGGGAGTTCTCGGTCACCATCACGTGGGACGATCCTCTGCTTCGAGTTCACTGCATCGACAGGTATTCGAAGCCGATTCGGTCACTTTATCGGATTGTGCATAGTCGATTTGATTAGAGGGGAATAAATGCTTTTGTAAAAATATACTTCAAGGTGTTATTATTTTTAGATTTTAAATTTCATTCTTAGGTCTAGCATTTTTAAGACTAAATTTCACTTTTTGCCATGCTTTAACTTTGAGGTTTACTGAATTCAAGTATATTTGTCGTCATGTAGTTAACTATTTTCTATTTAAGTATTGATTACTTGGAGTAAAGATGAAATTGGTCTTCCCCTTTCTCTATTTACCAACTTTTAAACATGATTATCTCTTGAATTTATAAGTCTTTAAGGCAAAATGCGCTTCTGCTATCGAAGGTTGTTATTCCGAAAATATCGTCTTTTCTTTTACTTAATCCTTTACTTTCACTTAATCCTCTCTTAGATATAAGCAAAACCAATACGAACATCAATACTAACACACTTGATCACACTAAAATCACAAAAACACCTTTCACAAAACAACTTTATTAACAGATTATTATGATTCTCCCGATTAAAAAAATCTTTCTTATAGGTACGTCATTTCCTA